TGCGCACATGCGTACTACGCTCTTTCTGACTGTTCCTCTCTCGGCTGTTGATTGGAGTGCATTTCTTTTCATTCTTATCCAAATATGGATAAAAGAGATCCACGCCACGATACTAGGAATGTAGAACGTGACTACCACGTGGAATACAAGGAAGCCGTTTTCTGCTTTTGCGCCGTAGAATGGTACGATCCACTGGCAAGATCCGTTCACAAGTGTAGCGATGAACAGTTCAAATATTTCTGTTGTGGCAGCAGACAACCAAATAAAGGCAATATACATGCATAGCCGTCGGCGTCTAAATTTGGACTTGTAATCATTTGGCTTGACAACAGCATACCAGCGCTCAAGAGAAAGGCACATGATTGTTGCGTTGGACGCTTTGCCGCATACGAACAGGAAATAGGTGGAGAACACGGTACGACAGAAGACTTCTCCACCATAACCTGCCATTCGTGGGTAAAGAGTCGGCGGGAAAACATACCCTGGAGTTATGAACAGTAAAATCCCTAGAATAGTACAAAAAATAATATGTGACAAAATAAGCTGTAATTCTTAGGACGATTTCATAAAGATTAACATTACGTCTTTCGGGCTACGTGAGCGGAAACTTTTTTTATCAGAAAGCTGATCATCCGATTTTCGAACTTTTTTGTTAATCAATCGTGGGTAGCATGTCGCGGGCCGTGGGTAAAGTCGTGGGTAAAAATTAATCAAAAATTCGAAAAATGACAATTATAAGAATAGCGGGTTCCAATGGCAAGATATCGTATGCRATTATCAATAAACATGTGTATGATATTTTTTTATAACAGCTATGCAAGGCGATAACCCTCGGTCAATATTTCTGACATTTCGTATTCCGCATCTAACAAGATACAGACAAGAAAATTCTTCTTGGAAGGTGTTTAGCGTTACGCTAAGTTTGCATATTAGAGAAATTATCCTATAAAGTATAAATCCTCAAAAACTGATTGAATTGAAAACTCGTTTTCAAGGGCACTTGAAACTCCTTGAAAATTTGAAAATTTCGAAAAAGTCCTTGAAAAAGATAGAAGCACCTAGCGATCTCTGAATTATTCCGTTAGTGAAGTTGTAATGTAAGAATTTACAATTAGCATGATTATGATGTTCCTTGAAAATACAAATTTGGTCYTKRAAAAGTCCTTGAAAAGTTCTTAAATTTCGTATTTGATACTCTGCAAATTATGTCGTAAAATATATTTTTTTWAAMTTTTACTATATAGAGAAACCTCGAATGTGTTATTTTCACTAGTGAAAATAACATGTTATTTTCACTAGTGAAAATATCAATTTTACGAAATGGAAAAATATAGGTATTTCATAGATAATTATATGATAAAAATAAATATTATGGGCTTATTTGCCATCGCTTATGGTATCTTTTTATCTGACTTTTCGTTGAAACTTTGCCCATACCCACGACATGGATCCACGACCCACGACATGCTACCCACTACCCATGACCGTCAGTCAAACTAGATTTTAACCAATAGCGCTCAAACATTTCCTTCGGCCCGCGCGGGCGACCCGCTAAAAATTACGTCTAGCGAATATTTCCGCAACAAACGCGTTAATCAAAAAARTGAGACAYGTTTTTGGAGATCAAACTGTGCTCTAACCGAAGGAGGTAACAGTTTATTAGCAAAATAAAATCCGGTGTTCCTGGAACTTCTTAAAAATGAGCGGTCAAAAATAATAGAATACCTATTTAAAAATTACAATTCACTCTCATCAAAAAGCAGTTACATAGTTAAAATAGAAATAAAACATTTAAAAAAGCAAAGCAAAACAAAAAATATGATAAAATACCTTGTAGTCCATCTGCAATGGACAA